TACAGTTGTCCCTTGATAATCCGACAGGTATGGGACCAAAGGTGTGTCAGATTACCAAAAGTGTCCGGATTACCGAAAATAATTACATATTTCGCATTGTTTTGCTAGCAGTAACTTACAATATTCTCTACTCCAACTGTTCAAACAGAACTGCTCACATAAAACACACGAAATGTGTGTCATTGTATAAAAATTGGATGGGGAGATTCACATCGCGACATGCTTCTGTGCAAGCAGACACGTAACGGGGACGAGTACCTTGACGGGAGGTGCGTCGGACTACTGAGCATGTCGGATTAAAAAACGGACTATAGAGGGACAACTGTATTAATGTTTTGTTCTGTTTATAATGGACATCATTAGGTTATTGGTGTTAGTGGTGTGATTTATTTATGTTTAATCCTGTATTTTGACAATTAGTATTATTCAAAAATTCTTTAGGATATAAATTATTGTACAAAATTATTATTAAAAATATTAAATTTAGAGCATTTTCATTAATTTCATTAACTTAGGACTGAAAAGAGAACAAGAAAATAGTATGGAATTTTATTTGCATAAATTATTTGAAGTGAAAACTAGAGTAAATTTTCAATTTTTCATGTTGAATAATACATTTGCAGGAGAGAGTGTTGTTTTCTGCAAAATTTTAAAATTAATGGAATTTTAAATAAACAAATGCATATTAATGCTATCAGTAATAAACTTTCAAAGCAATTAATATTTTATGTAGAACTTTGCAGTATTTTTCTATACTCAACTGTGACTAAATTCATGACTCATCTCTAAACTAATTAAAAGATAAATTTTATAAATTATTTCTAATTTAATTTATAAATAGTTAATAGAACTGGTTTAATATAATTTTTCAACAGATACATCCTTCATTATTTCATTGTTTTCATTAAATAAATTTTAGTAGATTCTTTAAGAAAAGTTAATAATAAATAAATGTTTGCTTTTAAGTAACTCACATAACATTTTGGATATAAATTAAGAATTTTGACAATTCTTTTTATTATAAAAAATTGAATTTTTAATATTACTAAATATACAAATATATTGTTTCAGATAAGAAAACATATTGATAGTCTACATAAGATAATACAAATTATAATAATTACAAATTTACTATTTAATGCTTCCTGAAGAATATATATAGAAATAACTGTTTTATACATTTTATAAAATTACATTATTGTATATTTTCTAATTCTACTTTCTAATTATTAATCCTGTAATTTTATAACTGTGATAATGTGTTATATGTATAATTAATTTTAAATCTTTATTTCAAAAACTAAGATAAATACATATTAAACATGTAATGAACTTCAATAAAAATGAATTATACAATATTGTAGAATATTTTTACATTACATTACAAATTATAATTGTTTTGCTAAGCAAAATACCAAACAACTGTTTTATGTTTGCACAGTACTTTTATAAAATATTTATTACTATCTAATAGTAATGTGTAATCAATTAAGCCTTCACAATAAATGTTAATTCTATATTACTTTAAACTCCAATGTTAACCATATTGCCAGCAATTATGGTATAGAAGTTTGTTTTTAAAATTTAAAAAAATTGATAAAATAGTAGATTATATTTATAAAATTTCACATATTATATACAATTTTACTATAATAATATATAAAAGTATAATTAACTAAGATTCATATTTTACTTTGAATAATATTATTGAAATAAAAATTTGATTAGTCAGTATTCTGGTAGAAACTTTGATAATTCAAACTATTTATTTGAATTTTGTTGAAGTCCAAATTGAAAGTGACACAATGAAAATTAAAAATTGCATTTAATTCCTGAATTGTAATTTGAAAAGAAATCACAACCATAAAATACTGAATCAGTTTATATATCACAATTTAAAAACAGTGTAATTTTCAAAGTTTAGCCATTGGGAAACAATGAAAGAATTGCAGCACACAACTTTTGTGGTCTAGTTTCATGAGGGTATATATTCAAAACAGTTTCTACTTGTTCCTTAGGAAATATTGCTGAGAGATGAAAATGTAATTTTTCTCTTAAAATGCTATAATTAGGAAATTGACAGATTTGATTAGATACATCCCTATTATCACTTTCTTCTGACAATGCAGAATCTTCAGAAACCCAAAGTTCACTTTGTATAGGTTTTTTAGAGTAAACGATCGAATTATGCGTATCTTTCATCCAGCGAAACCAATTTTCTTGACTGATCATTTCCATTTTGTCTTTTGATGGTTCTAAGGGTTTTTCTGCTGGATGGTCTATCCAAAAGTTTTTATGACCTAAAGTTCGTTCGAAATCATAATTCTGGCGATGTAATTTCCGATGTTTTTGTAATGTCAAATGAGATGCTACGTAATGTGGTTGTTTGCTCTTCGGTATTGATGAAACTTTATCGTTATCTAATTCGAGTTTAGGTCTTTCTAAAGTAAAATTTTTTAGTTTGTGACAAAGTGCAGTTTCAGATGACGAATCTGTCCTCGTTATAGCTGCTTGTTCTGTATCAGGACTTCTCCCCTTTTTAATTCTTGATAAACTTTTCTTATTCCTTAAAAAGAGCTTCTCATCTTAAAAGAATTAAATAGAAAAATTACACATCAATGCTATATAATATGAAAGTTTTTATCATAAGAGTTTAGATTTAAAAAAAAAAAAAAAAAAGTTAAACCTTCAGTTCTCTTAAAAATTTTGAAGTTTCTACTTTCCTCTCGATGAGATTTTGATCTTCGCAGAAATTTTTCTAAAGTAGGCCCGTGGCGTCCAAGAGGATCGTCAGGAGGCATGAATCTATCAAAATGAAACAAAACTTGAGATTTAGACTTAATATAAACATGATTCGTTAAATTTTTTTTTCGTTTTTTTAAGTTAATTAAATTCAAAATTATTAAATGAGTTAACTAATTTGATCAGAATAACTGTTTAGGTGACTTGTAACAGTAAAAATTGTTTAATTAATTAATTAGTATTATTGGTTTTAAGCATTTACTAAATTTAGAATATCATAGATTACATTAATTAATTAACCCGTTTAGGTATCAACCCATGTGCCTCAAACTTTTCATAAGAAAAAGTTTAAAATTGCTAATTGTTTCTCCTACTTGTTAATAATAATTATATGTTTTTTTATACGAAAAAAAATGCAGATCTTCAATGTCACTTTTTTATATAAGAGCATCTTTGATTCCACATCGTATCGTTGGTGTGCGATCAAAAACACTGAATGCACCAATAGCTTAAAAAAGTTTCATTACATTTATCTGATTATTTATATTACTGATGCATTAAAATATTGTTATATTTTAACATTTTAAAATAATTATTTGAGAAATAGGTTTAATTTAATATAGTTGAAATTTTTCTTTTACGTTATCGACAAGATATCTTTGTTATCATTTTTTTAAAATATAAGAACAAGAACAATTGGGGTTTTTAACGAATTGGATATCCAAAATTTATATTGTTGGATAAGACTAAATTTAAAAATATATATAGCCTATACGAATTAAGAAGATAAAAGTTATGATTCTCTTTAATTACTTTCAAGAATATATTTAAAATTTAAATTAGCAGTCTGGAAATGCTTATACATTAAACTTAAACACGTGCAAATTTATTAATTTTTCAAGTATTCAATTTGAAATAAATATTTATGAAAAAAAATTATTATTTTACACGAGATTGGCAGATTATTATTGAATAATTCATCAGTTTTTATACTAATTATCCGAACAAAGTAAACTAATCTTATTCAATACGTTTTGTTTTTATAAGAATTGAGAACTAGACTTAAGATGTGTCTTGGTTTATGTACGCACCGCGTGCTTTTAAATGTTATGTTTAAAGATAATGTTGACTTACAGAAACACTAGAATATTTATTCCTTTAATTCTTACGGAGAATGATTTATGATCATTTTATGTCCTATTCGTTCTCATATATTTTGCTTACGTGCCATATCACATAAAACTTGGATTTGCTGCTCAGGTTTTAATTATATATTTAGGTTTTTGTACTTAATCGTTTCTTAATCTAATAAATTATAGTCTACCACGAAGAATAAATTACCTGTTATTTACGAAAGAATACATCAGTAGTCTGTTTTCGACAACGTTTTCGTACTCGATGTCCTCTGTTACATACTTGGAATAATTATCGTTAGATACCAACACGCCATCCACTTGAGCTACATATTTCAATATTGCACGATCGTCACAGCACGAAACGCAGAGAATATCTTTGTTCATATCGTCTAGTAAATATCTATCTAAAACGTTTAAGGAGTAAAATTATTAAATTAAAGAAATATTAAGCGATTTATTTATAGTTAGAATTTAGCATAAATGAATCTAATTATAACTACCTTTTATAATTAAATCAGGAGATGGATCCCTCCACCAGGACGGAGTAAAAACTGTGATATCTTTATGTCCACGATTTCTGAACCAGTCTACGCATATTTTGATCCCTTTGCAGGATATCTTCTCTTTGTTACCGTGGCTATTAAATGTTTTCGAAAGTTTAAATACGTTGCAATTTGTTCTCTTAAGTTTTAAAAAATATTTTCTTTAGTTTTTAACCTATACAGACTTATTTTAATCTAATATATTTTATCATTAATCTGTTCTGAAGTTTGAGTAGTAAGCATACTTATGTAATAAGACAGAGTAGCTAAAATATGAAGAATATGTAAAAATATTAAGAAATAGGTCAAAGAAAAACAAGGTTAACTTAAAGAAAAAATTGAAAAATAGTCTGAAACCTACCTTACAGCAACATTTCCACCATCAACAACAACATGACGCAAACAATATTCTTCAGACAACAAATGCGTTTCTCTCTCCCTGCTGCTTCCTCTTAACTTGACTAATTCCGATAAGAGTTCATTTTGGGTCATTTTCGGACCGAGTCTATTAACTACCATTTGGATCTGATTTTGGCTGTAACCCAATTTTAAAGCAAAATTGTTCAATCGAGTTGCATCTATCCATTGTTCTTCGCTGGACGATGATGACATTAATACTAGAAAAACCAATAAAGCGTTGTAAGAAAACTATTAAATGAGCAGAAAATACGAGAATAATACGATTCTCGAGCTGTTTTACACTAAATATAGAGCTAGAACAATAGATGCGATAATGCGATTAAGTAATCAGATCGTAAGTCGAGATAGAGTGATGAAATTTATATAGGATAAAGCCCCCCGTTGATGTCATTCATCTCTTCTGTTCGAAAAATTAAATTAAATTATATATTCTAGCTTGTTGACTTTCGTACTTCGTTGTTACGACGTACGGTGATGTCTATTGCTAATTAAACAATTAAATAGTATGCAAAACAGCTTAGTAAATGTATCTTCCTTACCTGATGCTTCTCTTGTGATGCTGATATGGCAACTGGCACTTTTGTACGTCCGCCGAGAACAGGATTTATCGCCAAAGGGCAAGGTTGGGGAGAGTTGTGTAGTGCACCTCTCACAAATATATATCCAAAAATATCAGATCCTTGTTTTGTCAACTGTCGTCAAAATAAAGTTATAAATACTTATAAAGATTTGTTAAGAACGATTAAAACTGATTGAGTAGACGAACTCGATCGGATCTACTACTATTTTTTTTTCTATTCGTATAATTAAATAAAATTCAAAAAGTGCAATTATAAATTAATCAAACTGAATCATTGGTAAAGTTCATTCATTAATATTTGCTACAAGATCCTGTATCCTTATTGACCTCTTGACGTGCATAGAAACCTGTCTTATGAAGTAGGACACGACTGCCCCTTGCCAACCGGATGTGGCAGTTCACCTAGTGTTGGTCAGGTAAGGGTCAAGGTCGAAAGCTTTCAGTACCTTAGTTGCTTATGTAAAACTTTAACAGAACACTGTAATATTTATTTGTTTATGAATATAATTATCGGTGTAAATATTTCTTACAGCTGTTTTCGTTAATAGCCTAGAATTATATTTTTTTACGATTGAAAAATTTAGAATCTATTACTTTGGTTTTATTCAAAAGTAATTTCTGCGATGCTTACTCTTAACACACGAAATATTTATTAAAAACTACAGAATTGATGCGATTTTAATATTTATTAGGATGTTGTTATAAGGCTTGAAAAATAAGTGCCGTTTATGCAAATATTAAATGTTTTTGTTTTCGGATGAGAAGGTGTTTCTTCCATTCATACGTTATCAGATTTCATTCAGGACTTCCTCCCTATAGTGGTATTCCACAACCCAATATAATTAAGATGGATGAGACTAGTGAGGTCAACCTGTTCGTTACGCTATAATTATTAACTCCACTCGATATATTCGGTACTGATCAACGTTTAATGAGGAAGAAAAACTAGAAACAATTAAAATATATGCTAATCCATCCATTACAATTCTTATTTGTTATATAATTTGTTGCTTGTTTTGAAGATTGAGGATCTGGCGTTTATAACTATTATTATTTCGTTGATTGAAAAAATTTCAAGTTTATTAATGATTGGAAAGAAAGGTTGAAACATTAAGAGCAGGATGATTACAATTAAAATGCATCAATCAAATCAATTATAAAGTGATTAAAACTTCTAATCTTAATACGGGAGATCGCGAGGGTTTTTAGTTACTAAATTTATAAATTTTACGTTTATCTTTTAAAAATGTTTTACAAGTAACCGATCAATTCTGTTCTGACTTTAATCTTTCTTTCTTTCTTTTTTTAATCTTAAAATAAGTTTGTTAATTAAAGAAGAAATTCACAGTAACAAGTATAACTAATGATGAAAACAATAAGGACGAGAACATCATAAATTGAGTTTCTCGGCGATAATATTTTAAAAAATTTAAGAGAAAAGTCATTTTTGATTAGTGTAATTATTATCTAATTTTTTTCCGAAAGGATTTTATCCATTAGAATAGATTTTAAGAAGAGATTCCGATTAAATTAAGTGGGGGAAAACTTTATATGAAGAGACGTGAAAAAATGATTTAATCCAAGTAAATAAGAGAAAGTTGTACTTGAAGACTTTATTAAAGGAATAACATATGTTGTACAATAGATAAAGATAAGCTGAAGAAAAAAAAGGAAAACAATATTTTATATCTATCCGTGAAAGAACTTGATATAATTCTCCAACATATTCATCTGGAATGTGATCTAAAATGAGAAAAATCATTTCATATTCATCTTAATTAAATTTTTTTAAAAATATATGTGTGTACAATGTATTAAGTTATAACTTAGAAATATTTATATAATAATAATTATTATTACGTTTCTGATGACAGTAAAACGAAAAGATGTTCAATTGTCAGTGATGTATAATTAAATATTTTTGCTTGGGAATTTGTGTTGGTGTGGGGGAGGAAATCTTTTTTCTTAAGACATTACCTAATTCTAACTAATATAAATAAATTAATTTTATTAAATATATAGTACACAGTACATTACTTAACAATTAGCTATGAATTATAATTGTTAAGTACTGTACTTGTAGGAAATCGAATTTATCGGTCTTGTACTGTACTTAGAAAGTCAGAAATTTTAATTTTTTGAATTTAAAAGCATGCATATATATACTGTATATATGCTTCTTGCGTAACATCTGTGAATTGAAAAATTCATAGATGTTACGTAGCTGAATATACCGGTATAAATTCTTAAAATTTCAAAATGAACAGTTAAGTTGAATTGTCTGTTTAGGATGAATTTTGCAATTCATAGATGTTACGTAGCGGAAGGAGCTGTCAAAATAGCACCTACGAATGATGAATCGCAAAATTGTCGAGTTTGTAAACATTTTAAAATTCTTCGCTTCCAGACAATCTTATTACTTTTTTCTGTTTTGTGTACTTTACTCTCTCATTCGATTTTAGAGAATATCAAAATGATTTACCCAACAGCAGAACCGAACTTCTAAAATGGTGTTAAATTACTAATTATATAGTTTAAATAATCTAATATTGGTAGAATATATAATATAAATGATAATTTCTGAGTTGGAAGTATTAAAAAGTTTATTTATTTTGTCACTTGTAGAGGAGAAAAGTAATAAGTAAACATTTTGCGTGAACTGAAAATTAGCTAGAGTTTTAGTGCTAAAGATAATAAATATAAACTTACTGCTTGATAGAAAAGACATTCTGCAGGTAGTTCATCTTCTCCCAAAGGGCAGTCGCTGTTACCATCACAAAGCTTGATGATGTCTATACAGACCAAACGGTCCTCTTCATCTCTTGATGGGCAAATTAATTGATTTTTATGTTCTTGACTGGAAATTTGACACAAATCACATTTCTTACAGATTGTCATTACTGAAATTAAGAATTTGATATCAAGACATTAGTGCTAATTACAGTATATCTTGGTGTCATTTATGATTAAGTTAGGATTAGAATCTGATGTTAAATTTTATTCGTTATTTACTTAATAATTCTTTTTGATAATTTGTTTATTATTATTATTTACTGATTGAAGTTTGCAAATTAAAAATTCTGAAAGTTTCAAATTTGTTAAATCTATAATCCAAAGCTGCATTAAACTATTTTAATAAGCCATTATTCTCTGTTAGTAAACGTGCTTTTAAGTATAAAAATAACTTTTTGTAGTGTTAAAATGTCTGCTTGCAGCTTTTGTTGACATAAATTTAGCAGTGAGACACGCAATTGTCATTCTTATGTCATCATCCAGTTTTTCGAAGTTAACTTTTGCTATAAATCTTTGGATATAGCATGAAGATGAATGGAAACTACATTTATAAAAGCTATACTTTATTTTATTTTTTAAATGCAATTTTTACTTTTTATTTCTAACTTTTTTTTCTAGTAGTTTAAACTACAACTCACCTTCACTTGTTAGTCGATCATTTCCCATTTCTCTATTATTTCTAGATATTTTTTCGGCTCCAGACAAGCTTGTTCCATCTTGTATAATACTCTCTAAGTCGAATTTAGTAAAGTCGAATTTTTTAGGACTTGTAACTTGATTTAAATTCCATCCATATCGCTTATCATAATCTACTAATTCATCGCCGTTATTTGAAATTGGTACAATTACACGTCTCTTCCACCAATTATGTTTGTAATAGCTTCTAGTCTGAACTTCTAATACTTTAAAGATTACGAGGAGAAAAACGAAGAATAATAGTTTAAAATACATTTTTACTTTCCTAAGTTTATGCGATTGTCTCTGCTTTTAAAAGTTCTCCTTTTATATATAGGTAGAAAGGATTAATAGAGACTGCGCCGTTCATCACTTGGCATCTGATAGAGTCATTTATCCTTCAGTTTGCAGGAGCTGTTCTATTAATGAAAGCTTTCTTAAAATTTCTACTATTTAATATGCAAATTACTCTCGTATGCACAGAATTAATTTGTCTAAAACGTTCTATAAAACTTTGTTTTGTAAATCAATTTTTCTTTCCTTTATATTAAATCAACAAACATATTTAGTCTAAGAAAAATTAACTTAATACTAACTAATTCATAAAGTTTTAGTTGCAACTTCAATATATATACAGTATATATATATATATTCCTTCTACAGATTATTTTATATCTTTAGTTGAAAATTACAAAAGAAATTCCCAAGAAAGTACCTTCTAGTAAGAAAAAATACTGAAAGAAATAGCTTTATAATATATTCTTGTGAAGGAAATTGGTGATTTTTCTAACCGCATTATTTACCTAGTTTTTTTGAAAATAAAAAATGCTTAAAAAAGATATAATTTCAATTAGACAAATATTGTGTTTACAGTATATATATATATATATATATTTTGTATCTCATCTTCCTTAATCAAAACTATATTTAGATGATAACCTAATAATAACGGGTGTATACGTTATTAACGAGTGTATTGTATTGATATAAATAGGGTGGATCTTGATAAAAATTCTAACACCAAACCACGTTTTATTAAATTTAATGCGTTTTTGTCGTGCACGATAAAGTTTATTTCCCTTGTTTGACGTTTTATAAACTTAAATACCTGCAATAAGCATATGAATAAGTCTTCTGTGCAGTACAAAAACAACGTTCTCGTTAATATAAAAATAGCGTTTAGTTTAACGGTTTCAAAATATTTACATTGTAACTTTTAATACATTTCTATGGCCATCAAAGTAAATATCTGTTTCTAAATGAATTCATGTTAAAAATATAATTAATAAATAGGTTTTTTTTGTAATAAAAAACATATGATTGGTTGGATTCATAAGTAGAGAGAGAATTAAAAGTTAAATTAATTTATCGATGGGATAAGTTTTTAAATATAAAAATAGCTTTTTTAAACAGAACGTTTTAGTTTAAATTTAAGTAATTATTATGTTTTAATGATTAAATAATTTATAATTAGTATTTTAGCTTATTCATTCTCCTGATATGCCACTTTTTCCGTTTTATTTCTATGTACTGGTACATTTTAGTTTCAAAATTTAAATTATTTCTGTTTTTATCCTTTTGAAATGCGAAAAATTTTAATTTAAAATATTTTTTTTACAGGTCAAAGCTCTTTAATTAATTACGCTATATTTCAATTAATATTTTTCTATGATCTGTTACAAGTGCTCGTATCAATGTTTACTGATACAAGTACCAAGATGTAAAATTTACGTAGCCTAATAATAAAAGCTTGTAAGAAGTAATTTTCTTAAAGTTTGATAAATTTCTTTATTAAAATTTTTGAGGATAGAGAGATGAGTTTTTAAAAATTGCAAATGTCAATAGCGTTAAATTTTCATTAACAAGTAAGTCCGACTCCACCCGAGATGTGACACACGACCCCATTATCTTCACACCACGCGCTGGACCTTAACCAATAAAATTTAATAGTGTCAATGCCATATTTCGTCTATAAATGTTTATCCCATCCTGAGATACACGCAAACATACATAAACATATTCTCACACGCTTATACACATCCATTTTTCCCGTCTTTTGACTTGGGTTCAAGGGTCTCAAAACGTCGAGATTTACAAAAATCCCGGAGGGTCAAATTTGACACGATTACAATACTTTCCCGTGTTATATAAATAACAGCCGGAAAAGCAAAAATTGACCTATTCCTGTTAGAAGACTGCAGTTAAAAGAAAGACGATTTTTAATTCGATCACTTCTATTATCATACAATTATTGAATCCTTTATTAATTAATAAATTAGCTTTTGTTGTTTTCAATGCTTTTGTGCTATTCACTCTGTTGTGATTTTTCGTTATACGTACAGTACGTTCTCATTTATCAAAATTCACATACCTTTGCAAACTCTTCATTTTACCGTAAATTCTTTTATTTTTTTAATAATGTATATGTAAATAAAGTTTGAATAACTCTTTATTTCTATAATAAATATGTAAGTTTCTATATTAAGTTGTAATTAATTATGTTAAAACATTTACCAAATTTTATAATATTAAAGTTATTTTGACTTTAAGAAATGTAATCACTTGATGCCCAAGGAGCCAGACATGCTGCCTTTTAACCCTTTTAATTAATATAATTAAACTTTTTAATTGGTCATTTAGTATTTCTGATTATTTAATATAAATTCAGACTACGAAACAAGAATCTCTTAAGTTCTGCAATTTTGTTTAATAAATTATACTTAGTCTATACGATATCAAGTTAGAAGAAGTCTAGTTTTAACTCCGTTTATAATAAAATATAAATAATCAAACTGCTGCTAAGATTTTTTTAGATATTCCTAATTTTCCTTAATATTAATTATGTTTCAGTGTAATTATATGGATTACTTTAAATGAATTTTATTGCTTAGAATTGAAGGTCCCGTTGTGAGAGAATTGACGACGTTATAACAACTTATTTTATTAAAAAATAAGTTGTTATAATAATAAGCTTTTTGTCTTTTTAAAATAATAAAAAGGTGGTAAAAGGCTTAATTTTGAGATTAGAGATGATGATTTAAAAATATTTTAAATGCCAAAAATCAGTAAAAGTTTCATTAAGCCCGACTCTATTGGTGATACGAGTGAAAATATAATATTAAAGACGTAAACACGCTATTTCGATCGATAACTTGCAATTATAATAATAATATACTTATATTAAAAAAAATAATAAATTATTGTAGAAAGCTGTTAATTCTTTAATAACTACATAAAATAAATATTTAATTNCGTCAGCGTAATCTGAATGCGGCCTAAGCAATGAGTGATGACTTATCTCATCACTTGATCATCGAGCTTAGCATATCACGGAGGTAATGAGCTCAATGAACAGTTTTCCTAAACGAACTCAGCGATGAGATCATTACATCTTAACCAATTAGCAAAGTCAGCATGTTTGTATGTTCGTTTTTAAAAGCACTAATTTAATTATTTTATCAGATTCGGTTTAATATACGATGATACAAGTCTCTATGTAAAACAGACTATTCAAAAAGACACATTTGTGATATGTGTGCACATAACGTAGGCTATGTTAACGTGCCACTAATGGAAAGAAATCAGTGGTATATCCAGGATTTTGAGAATGTGAGTGCTGCTCAGGGAGATTCGAAGAACCAAGTCATGTTTTTTTTTTGAGAATGTTACTCAATTATCTTAGAATTACTTTAGTTACCTAATTTTATGTACAATATGTGTTATATTTATTTTTTAAGTAACAAAATGAATTGCTTTAGTATCAAGGGATGGTGCAGCACTATAAGCATCTCTCTGGATACGCCCCTGGAGGAAATTGTTTATTCAGTTAAATGACACTAATATAAAGTCACTCCTTTTTTCTACATTTTTTTCACACTATATTAATGTACTGATTTGCAATATTGTTATACTAAGACATGATAATGAAACATAATTATAAGGTGGAATATTTTATAAGGTTAAATACTTTTTAAAAAATTTAACGTTTTTTTATTTTTGCCTATTTCATAAATATAAAGCTATGTAGGCAATTTGTAAAGGAAGAAATTGTCACAATTAGTATATTATTACTAAAAAAATACTATAATAATAATATTATATATATATATATATACTTAATGTTAGGAATATGCAAATGAGCAATCATTATCCTTTCTTGTTTACGGATTATGGAATGGCTAACCTGTAACTGATAAGAAAAAAAGGCAAAATTCTTAGTTTTATGGAAGACTGCTATTCTAGAAGACTAATTGCGAACCAATTAAACGGGTCTCACACGGTAGTCGATAATTTTCTTCAATTAAATGAAAACTATGCTAAAAAGAAGCCAACTGGTAGACCTAGAAAAGTTACATCAGCAACAAAACGGGTGATTATGATTTAGGTGTCAAAATAATTAGCATCTTTACCAGCTGTCGTACATCAAGACGGTATTAATGTGTCTAAATCGACCATCGACCGAATTGTGGCAAGTTGCCCTCATCTAGTCAGTCACAAAAACTGTACCTGCCCTAAAACAGCGACATAAGCAGTAGTATCTGTTCTGGACTAATCAGCATATTCTTGGACTGAAATATGGAAAAACATTGGACTTTTCTTTATCGCTTCAAATACTCTTGACGGGTCCGATGGTTATGCATACAATTGGCACGATCTCCGCAAAGACGAGCAACTGTTTGCAAAGCATCAATAAGGAGGCAATCTGATGATTTGGGCCACTTTCAGCTGGAAAGGAAAGAAAAACTTTTATCATTCATCAAGCATCGAAAGAATGTTGCATCTTACCAAAAGATGTTGGAAGATTTACTACCCTATGCAAAAAGTATTTCCAAGAACTGGCTATTTCTTTAAACGAGAAAATACACTTGTGCTCAAGGCTAAGATACATATGAGTGTTTCTTAGTTAATGAAGTGCAAAGAATTGGAAATAGGAAGAAATATCTCAAATCTACCTTCACCATTTAATTTTTGTCTATGTCTACTCGTATATACGAAACTACAGTCGACCCCCTATAACACTGTTGATAATTCCGTTTTATATGAATTCCATGTTGTACGAGTCACTTAGATTTTACAAATATGTGAGCCGTTCACANATCTTAATTAAATTTTTTTAAAAATATATGTGTGTACAATGTATTAAGTTATAACTTAGAAATATTTATATAATAATAATTATTATTACGTTTCTGATGACAGTAAAACGAAAAGATGTTCAATTGTCAGTGATGTATAATTAAATATTTTTGCTTGGGAATTTGTGTTGGTGTGGGGGAGGAAATCTTTTTTCTTAAGACATTACCTAATTCTAACTAATATAAATAAATTAATTTTATTAAATATATAGTACACAGTACATTACTTAACAATTAGCTATGAATTATAATTGTTAAGTACTGTACTTGTAGGAAATCGAATTTATCGGTCTTGTACTGTACTTAGAAAGTCAGAAATTTTAATTTTTTGAATTTAAAAGCATGCATATATATACTGTATATATGCTTCTTGCGTAACATCTGTGAATTGAAAAATTCATAGATGTTACGTAGCTGAATATACCGGTATAAATTCTTAAAATTTCAAAATGAACAGTTAAGTTGAATTGTCTGTTTAGGATGAATTTTGCAATTCATAGATGTTACGTAGCGGAAGGAGCTGTCAAAATAGCACCTACGAATGATGAATCGCAAAATTGTCGAGTTTGTAAACATTTTAAAATTCTTCGCTTCCAGACAATCTTTATTACTTTTTTCTGTTTTGTGTACTTTACTCTCTCATTCGATTTTAGAGAATATCAAAATGATTTACCCAACAGCAGAACCGAACTTCTAAAATGGTGTTAAATTACTAATTATATAGTTTAAATAATCTAATATTGGTAGAATATATAATATAAATGATAATTTCTGAGTTGGAAGTATTAAAAAGTTTATTTATTTTGTCACTTGTAGAGGAGAAAAGTAATAAGTAAACATTTTGCGTGAACTGAAAATTAGCTAGAGTTTTAGTGCTAAAGATAATAAATATAAACTTACTGCTTGATAGAAAAGACATTCTGCAGGTAGTTCATCTTCTCCCAAAGGGCAGTCGCTGTTACCATCACAAAGCTTGATGATGTCTATACAGACCAAACGGTCCTCTTCATCTCTTGATGGGCAAATTAATTGATTTTTATGTTCTTGACTGGAAATTTGACACACATCACATTTCTTACAGATTGTCATTACTGAAATTAAGAATTTGATATCAAGACATTAGTGCTAATTACAGTATATCTTGGTGTCATTTATGATTAAGTTAGGATTAGAATCTGATGTTAAATTTTATTCGTTATTTACTTAATAATTCTTTTTGATAATTTGTTTATTATTATTATTTACTGATTGAAGTTTGCAAATTAAAAATTCTGAAAGTTTCAAATTTGTTAAATCTATAATCCAAAGCTGCATTAAACTATTTTAATAAGCCATTATTCTCTGTTAGTAAACGTGCTTTTAAGTATAAAAATAACTTTTTGTAGTGTTAAAATGTCTGCTTGCAGCTTTTGTTGACATAAATTTAGCAGTGAGACACGCAATTGTCATTCTTATGTCATCATCCAGTTTTTCGAAGTTAACTTTTGCTATAAATCTTTGGATATAGCATGAAGATGAATGGAAACTACATTTATAAAAGCTATACTTTATTTTATTTTTTAAATGCAATTTTTACTTTTTATTTCTAACTTTTTTTTCTAGTAGTTTAAACTACAACTCACCTTCACTTGTTAGTCGATCATTTCCCATTTCTCTATTATTTCTAGATATTTTTTCGGCTCCAGACAAGCTTGTTCCATCTTGTATAATACTCTCTAAGTCGAATTTAGTAAAGTCGAATTTTTTAGGACTTGTAACTTGATTTAAATTCCATCCATATCGCTTATCATAATCTACTAATTCATCGCCGTTATTTGAAATTGGTACAATTACACGTCTCTTCCACCAATTATGTTTGTAATAGCTTCTAGTCTGAACTTCTAATACTTTAAAGATTACGAGGAGAAAAACGAAGAATAATAGTTTAAAATACATTTTTACTTTCCTAAGTTTATGCGATTGTCTCTGCTTTTAAAAGTTCTCCTTTTATATATAGGTAGAAAGGATTAATAGAGACTGCGCCGTTCATCACTTGGCATCTGATAGAGTCATTTATCCTTCAGTTTGCAGGAGCTGTTCTATTAATGAAAGCTTTCTTAAAATTTCTACTATTTAATATGCAAATTACTCTCGTATGCACAGAATTAATTTGTCTAAAACGTTCTATAAAACTTTGTTTTGTAAATCAATTTTTCTTTCCTTTATATTAAATCAACAAACATATTTAGTCTAAGAAAAATTAACTTAATACTAACTAATTCATAAAGTTTTAGTTGCAACTTCAATATATATACAGTATATATATATATATTCCTTCTACAGATTATTTTATATCTTTAGTTGAAAATTACAAAAGAAATTCCCAAGAAAGTACCTTCTAGTAAGAAAAAATACTGAAAGAAATAGCTTTATAATATATTCTTGTGAAGGAAATTGGTGATTTTTCTAACCGCATTATTTACCTAGTTTTTTTGAAAATAAAAAATGCTTAAAAAAGATATAATTTCAATTAGACAAATATTGTGTTTACAGTATATATATATATATATATATATTGTATCTCATCTTCCTTAATCAAAACTATATTTAGATGATAACCTAATAATAACGGGTGTATACGTTATTAACGAGTGTATTGTATTGATATAAATAGGGTGGATCTTGATAAAAATTCTAACACCAAACCACGTTTTATTAAATTTAATGCGTTTTTGTCGTGCACGATAAAGTTTATTTCCCTTGTTTGACGTTTTATAAACTTAAATACCTGCAATAAGCATATGAATAAGTCTTCTGTGCAGTACAAAAACAACGTTCTCGTTAATATAAAAATAGCGTTTAGTTTAACGGTTTCAAAATATTTACATTGTAACTTTTAATACATTTCTATGGCCATCAAAGTAAATATCTGTTTCTAAATGAATTCATGTTAAAAATATAAGCCTTACTTCTTGATACTTTTTCCAATTCTTTGAGATCATTTTTTTATCATTATCTGTTTTTTTTTAAACAACTTTCCCCAGCCTGTAGACATTAAGAGGATTTTTTTCGATTTTAACAGCATAAAGAATGTTATATANGAAGTATCAATAAAACTGATTTTTGCATTAATGCGTTTATTGTTTTTTTTTTAATATTTTGCCTGCGAAAATGACTTGGATATTATTTTTCTAAAAATATCTAAGAAATAAGGTAGGTTGATACAGAAACTGATTTTTGCATTAATGCGTTTATTGTTTTTTTTTTGAATATTTTGCCTGCGAAAATGACTTGGATATTATTTTTCTAAAAATATCTAAGAAATAAGGTAGGTTGATACAGAAACTATTTATCGCACGTGTACTGTATATGAGCTTCAAAATAAATAAATAAAAATAGATTTTATCAAACGATGAGATCAGCCGATTAATTGTATCGTGTACAATATTTTACATCCCCAAGGAAAATACTGTAGTTCTAGGGTAAAATAAATTTTGTTTTCCCACAGTTAAACTTCGCCGCTAATTGCTGTTNGTTTTTATCCTTTTGAAATGCGAAAAATTTTAATTTAAAATATTTTTTTTACAGGTCAAAGCTCTTTAATTAATTACGCTATATTTCAATTAATATTTTTCTATGATCTGTTACAAGTGCTCGTATCAATGTTTACTGATACAAGTACCAAGATGTAAAATTTACGTAGCCTAATAATAAAAGCTTGTAAGAAGTAATTTTCTTAAAGTTTGATAAATTTCTTTATTAAAATTTTTGAGGATAGAGAGATGAGTTTTTAAAAATTGCAAATGTCAATAGCGTTAAATTTTCATTAACAAGTAAGTCCGACTCCACCCGAGATGTGACACACGACCCCATTATCTTCACACCACGCGCTGGACCTTTAACCAATAAAATTTAATAGTGTCAATGCCATATTTCGTCTATAAATGTTTATCCCATCCTGAGATACACGCAAACATACATAAACATATTCTCACACGCTTATACACATCCATTTTTCCCGTCTTTTGACTTGGGTTCAAGGGTCTCAAAACGTCGAGATTTACAAAAATCCCGGAGGGTCAAATTTGACACGATTACAATACTTTCCCGTGTTATATAAATAACAGCCGGAAAAGCAAAAATTGACCTATTCCTGTTAGAAGACTGCAGTTAAAAGAAAGACGATTTTTAATTCGATCACTTCTATTATCATACAATTATTGAATCCTTTATTAATTAATAAATTAGCTTTTGTTGTTTTCAATGCTTTTGTGCTATTCACTCTGTTGTGATTTTTCGTTATACGTACAGTACGTTCTCATTTATCAAAATTCACATACCTTTGCAAACTCTTCATTTTACCGTAAATTCTTTTATTTTTTTAATAATGTATATGTAAATAAAGTTTGAATAACTCTTTATTTCTATAATAAATATGTAAGTTTCTATATTAAGTTGTAATTAATTATGTTAAAACATTTACCAAATTTTATAATATTAAAGTTATTTTGACTTTAAGAAATGTAATCACTTGATGCCCAAGGAGCCAGACATGCTGCCTTTTAACCCTTTTAATTAATATAATTAAACTTTTTAATTGGTCATTTAGTATTTCTGATTATTTAATATAAATTCAGACTACGAAACAAGAATCTCTTAAGTTCTGCAATTTTGTTTAATAAATTATACTTAGTCTATACGATATCAAGTTAGAAGAAGTCTAGTTTTAACTCCGTTTATAATAAAATATAAATAATCAAACTGCTGCTAAGATTTTTTTAGATATTCCTAATTTTCCTTAATATTAATTATGTTTCAGTGTAATTATATGGATTACTTTAAATGAATTTTATTGCTTAGAATTGAAGGTCCCGTTGTGAGAGAATTGACGACGTTATAACAACTTATTTTATTAAAAAATAAGTTGTTATAATAATAAGCTTTTTGTCTTTTTAAAATAATAAAAAGGTGGTAAAAGGCTTAATTTTGAGATTAGAGATGATGATTTAAAAATATTTTAAATGCCAAAAATCAGTAAAAGTTTCATTAAGCCCGACTCTATTGGTGATACGAGTGAAAATATAATATTAAAGACGTAAACACGCTATTTCGATCGATAACTTGCAATTATAATAATAATATACTTATATTAAAAAAAATAATAAATTATTGTAGAAAGTCGATCATTTCCCATTTCTCTATTATTTCTAGATATTTTTTCGGCTCCAGACAAGCTTGTTCCATCTTGTATAATACTCTCTAAGTCGAATTTAGTAAAGTCGAATTTTTTAGGACTTGTAACTTGATTTAAATTCCATCCATATCGCTTATCATAATCTACTAATTCATCGCCGTTATTTGAAATTGGTACAATTACACGTCTCTTCCACCAATTATGTTTGTAATAGCTTCTAGTCTGAACTTCTAATACTTTAAAGATTACGAGGAGAAAAACGAAGAATAATAGTTTAAAATACATTTTTACTTTCCTAAGTTTATGCGATTGTCTCTGCTTTTAAAAGTTCTCCTTTTATATATAGGTAGAAAGGATTAATAGAGACTGCGCCGTTCATCACTTGGCATCTGATAGAGTCATTTATCCTTCAGTTTGCAGGAGCTGTTCTATTAATGAAAGCTTTCTTAAAATTTCTACTATTTAATATGCAAATTACTCTCGTATGCACAGAATTAATTTGTCTAAAACGTTCTATAAAACTTTGTTTTGTAAATCAATTTTTCTTTCCTTTATATTAAATCAACAAACATATTTAGTCTAAGAAAAATTAACTTAATACTAACTAATTCATAAAGTTTTAGTTGCAACTTCAATATATATACAGTATATATATATATATTCCTTCTACAGATTATTTTATATCTTTAGTTGAAAATTACAAAAGAAATTCCCAAGAAAGTACCTTCTAGTAAGAAAAAATACTGAAAGAAATAGCTTTATAATATATTCTTGTGAAGGAAATTGGTGATTTTTCTAACCGCATTATTTACCTAGTTTTTTTGAAAATAAAAAATGCTTAAAAAAGATATAATTTCAATTAGACAAATATTGTGTTTACAGTATATATATATATATATATATTTTGTATCTCATCTTCCTTAATCAAAACTATATTTAGATGATAACCTAATAATAACGGGTGTATACGTTATTAACGAGTGTATTGTATTGATATAAATAGGGTGGATCTTGATAAAAATTCTAACACCAAACCACGTTTTATTAAATTTAATGCGTTTTTGTCGTGCACGATAAAGTTTATTTCCCTTGTTTGACGTTTTATAAACTTAAATACCTGCAATAAGCATATGAATAAGTCTTCTGTGCAGTACAAAAACAACGTTCTCGTTAATATAAAAATAGCGTTTAGTTTAACGGTTTCAAAATATTTACATTGTAACTTTTAATACATTTCTATGGCCATCAAAGTAAATATCTGTTTCTAAATGAATTCATGTTAAAAATATAATTAATAAATAGGTTTTTTTTGTAATAAAAAACATATGATTGGTTGGATTCATAAGTAGAGAGAGAATTAAAAGTTAAATTAATTTATCGATGGGATAAGTTTTTAAATATAAAAATAGCTTTTTTAAACAGAACGTTTTAGTTTAAATTTAAGTAATTATTATGTTTTAATGATTAAATAATTTATAATTAGTATTTTAGCTTATTCATTCTCCTGATATGCCACTTTTTCCGTTTTATTTCTATGTACTGGTACATTTTAGTTTCAAAATTTAAATTATTTCTGTTTTTATCCTTTTGAAATGCGAAAAATTTTAATTTAAAATATTTTTTTTACAGGTCAAAGCTCTTTAATTAATTACGCTATATTTCAATTAATATTTTTCTATGATCTGTTACAAGTGCTCGTATCAATGTTTACTGATACAAGTACCAAGATGTAAAATTTACGTAGCCTAATAATAAAAGCTTGTAAGAAGTAATTTTCTTAAAGTTTGATAAATTTCTTTATTAAAATTTTTGAGGATAGAGAGATGAGTTTTTAAAAATTGCAAATGTCAATAGCGTTAAATTTTCATTAACAAGTAAGTCCGACTCCACCCGAGATGTGACACACGACCCCATTATCTTCACACCACGCGCTGGACCTTTAACCAATAAAATTTAATANGT